TTAAGTAAAAAATGCGTAGCATGAAATTTTACTTATAGGAAGAGTTTTTTATACTAAAAATAACAATATATATATATCGATCAACAAATATGTCCCTTAATTTATTGGCAAGTGTATTAATTAAGAGATCAACATCGGTTTATGCATCCAATTTCTTATAGTTAATATTAGAAAATCGATGTCAAAAGCAATTTTTATCTTATATTAGCACCTTTATAATGTAAGATATTTTGCTATATTATGATAAGTCAATTAAATCTTTACTTCTTTTTCTCTCAAATTATCAAACTTTTTACATTATAGTACTGATAGTTTTAAAAGAATCTTAATTTAAAGTAATTGAACCGATTTTACTTTTCGGGGGCATAACTTAAGTTTATCGGTTTAAACCTTAGTTCAACCCCTGAGAATAATAAATTTGTCAATAATTTTTAATTTGTCCCTTAATTTGCGAGCAAGTGTATCAGATAAGAATCTACACCTATTTTTATATTTAATTTCTATAGAAAATCATCATAAAAGCAAACTTCTCTCCTATGTTGGTGCCTTTATGATATAAAATATACTATTATACCTTCCTAAGTTCGGCACATCTTCGCGTTTTTCTCTTGTGAATAATTTAGTTTTATATGCTGGAGCACTTCTAGTTTTAAAAAAATCTTGAGCGAAAGTTGTCTAATTATTATTATTTTTTTTAATATTTGAGAACGATATTAAATGACCCTTTTTTTTAAAAAATAACAATTTTACATTTAATGTTTGAATTTGTCTTTTGATTGATGATTAAGTGATAGCACAAAAGTTTATGATAGTTTATAGTGACAGTGATAGTTAATGTACAATATTTAAATAACACATATTTGAATCCTTTTTTTTTTTTGGCCGAATTCTTTTTTTTTTTGGTTGAATCATTTTTTTTTCTTTAGTTTAAATGACGATGAATACAAACAAATCAAAAATCTATAACACTGATACAATGGTTTTCAATAATTTTGAGTATGTGCCTGAAGATTATAAAGAGAATACCGAAAGCACAAGCATTCCTGTTGAATCAGAAAGTGTCATAACAGAAAGTATAACGGCAGATAAATTTGACTTCGACATAGAATTGAGCCCAATTCTTTTTAATTATGATAGCTTTGACAAAGCACGAGAACTTGCAGAGGCGGATGAAAGAGTGGACATTAATCTTTTAAGGGAAAATAATACTGATACCAATATAGATAGCAGTGATATAGTATCATCTTCGGTGTTCGATCTTGAATCTGAATTAAATGACGAGAATGAGTATCTTGTCAAGGATACCACTAGTAATAAATTTAATTAGCAATTATCGGCTTGCCCGATTCTGGATTTTATTGATGGTAACATTAAATGCTATGAAGACCATTCTGAAAAACAAAGACTACTTGCCCAACTCATTGAAGTGTAGGAAATAGATTCCGAAAATTTTCAACAAGCCCAGGCATTAAAAAAGATATCAATGATGGAGGTCTGTCAATCGCATTTCCTTTTTGACCAAAACCAACTTCACAATGCATATATTAAAAAGGAAAGATCAATTGAAGAAAGTTGGATATTTTGCCGAAGATGTCTATTTTGCAACAAATGCAAATATTTTTTTAGCAGGGGTAGAACCTGCATACAGCATTCATGATGTGTGTTTGAAAAAAATATCCAAATACCCTGTGTAGGTCTCATGACTTGCCCTATATTTGATAAGGAGGAATCAGATAATAATACAAAAAATCAAAGAACTGAATACCGACCTAGATATATATGTTCAGAATGTTTTATCAAATAGGGAGGCCACTTCTACAAATGACAGGGCCGTGGAAGCCCAAAATTTGAATGTGAACGTTTATATAAAAATGATGTGAATAATGGACTTCGAATTTTGGGTCACTGGATTTTACACATAGCCGAAATCGCTAATGAGGATAAAAAAAAAGTTTTCTTGACGCATTTGGTTTCTATTTTACCAACATTTTTTGACATCAAATCATTCCCAGTAACTGCAAATTCACCCAGCCTTCTTTTTGTTAAAATAGTTTTAAGACTGGAACATGTTAATTTGACAAATATTGTAGATCAAAAGTTCAATTTTACCTCTGAAACAGCTCTAGATTTGGGAAAAGCGTTGGGGGTTGCAATATGGAATGTACGACATGAAGTTCGAAAAAAAAAAAAATCTTTGAAAATCCAAGATCATTAACGGAATATCAAGATGGTTTTCCATCATGTATCGCTAATTTTTTTAATGAATTCATTGAAACCTTATAACAAAAAAAACATGATATACTTGTAAAAAAAAGAGCACAAAGGAATTTACCGTTAAAAGCCTTTAACAAGGATCGTGTAACAAAAATAACCATCAGCAAAAATATATATGCGTAAACTTTCATAAGTTTTTACGGTGCATAAGAAAATTGTAAACTTACGTAAAATTTAGCGTAAAACTACGTAAATCTTACGGTGCGTAAGAAAATCATAA